CAGGCAGGCAGGCAGGCAGGCAGGCAGGCCCAAATCGCTCACGAATCGCGAAGACCTCGTCATCAAGGTGCAATCTGCCCTTCATCGACCATCGGTCAGGTGTGCAATCACGGGGTCCTCGCATCACTTGCAAGCCCTGCTCAAGATGACCAGCGCTGCGGGAGAGCATCGAAAGGATGCAGCTGGAGCGGAGGGCTCCAATCAGCCCGCTCTTCCGGCTCTACACTCTGCCAATCCACCGCGAGTGTGTACGATTGCTGGATCAGACTCTGGAGGAGGAGCGGGCATTCAAGCCGATCTCAAGACGATCCAAGCGCTCGGAGGATATGGCTTGAGCGTCATCACGGCGCTCACTGCGCAGAACACCACTGGCGTTCAAGCGGTGCACGCTCCACCTTCCGAGTTCGTTCGCTCTCAGCTTGCCTCGGTACATTCGGATATCAGGATAGATGCGTGGAAGATTGGGATGCTAGCAAACAAGGAGATCATACAGGTCCTATCAGAGGATCTGACAAGGTATAGGAAGGGCAAGGGGAAGCTCGGTAAGTCTCTTGATTCCTTTACGACACTGCCTGAGCGAGCTTACACCGCGACATTCTACGACTTTCCCACGCAAAGCTGCGCTTGTCCTTGACCCGGTCATGGTCTCGACGTCTGGATCATTGCTTCTTACGCACGACTCCATCCATCACCTCATCTCCGGAATGCTGCCCCTCTGCGACGTCCTCACACCAAATCTGCCAGAAGCACGCCAGCTTCTTGCTCACGCGCGTAACAGACCGGTCCGCCATGACAGTGCCACTGCCGCTTCACCGACTCAGAAGACCAAAGAGAGTGGAGATGATTTAGAAAGCAGTCTGGACACCCTCAAGTCCCTTCTGTCCGCTGCAAAGGAGCTCTCTGATTTGGGACCAAAAGCAACATTGGTGAAGGGTGGTCATCACGTCATGAAGAAGAGCGAGGTGAACGCCTCCTTGCTGGAACTCGGTGGTGGTCTTGGTTCAGCTCCTGAGAGTCAAGATCAATTGTATACAGGCATTCAAAGTAGGGGGCAGAGGTACAGGGGTCAGCTCTCCGGGACAGCAGAGGCTGATGAGCTCTGCGTGGTCAGGACAGATGGTTCTCCTTGGTCAGACGTACTCTCGGCGTGGTACGCATCTGGAAGCTCGAAGAGTACATCGTCGCACGATGTGGAATCAGTCATAGTGGATGTGCTCTACGAAAAAGTGGGAGTGAATGGTGGGCCGAGGTATACTCTGTTCGTGAAGCCCCACGTGCAGTCGACTGCGACTCATGGAACGGGATGCACCCTTTCCTCGGCCATCGCAACGTACCTTTCATCCGGCCTTACCATCGAGCGAGCCGTTTCGAACGGAATCTCGTACGTGCAAGCCTCAATCGCTCGAGGGCTGGAAAGTCTGGGTCAAGGTGCTGGCCCACTGAATCACGCTTGCACCATCGCCCCTCGCGGCGTGCTCCCACCAGTCCGCCACGCAGACTCTCTGCCTAGCGATCGTACACCGCTGTGTGCGGCTCTCATAGCCAACAATATTTCCGATTGGAATCTTTTCGTCCAGCATCCCTTCGTAGAAAAGCTTTCGTGCAATGAGCTATCCAAAGAAAACTTCGTCTGGTTTCTGAGACAAGATTACCTATTCTTGTTGCACTACTCGCGCGTTTGGGCTTCGGGAGCTTCTTCAGCTGCTGCCGCACGTACCTTCGACGACGTCGTTCTATTTGCAGGTATGGCGGCCTCGATGGCGACAGAAGCAAAGACGCACACCAAGATCTGCGCGGCGTGGAGCATCACGGAAGAAGACCTTCAAAGAAGGACCAAGGAGAGCGCGGCTACTTTGGCTTATACGCGCTACGTTCTCGATGTATCGAGGAGCGGAGACGCGCTGGAATTGCTGTGCGCCACCGGCCCTTGTATGCTGGGATATGCTGAAGTCGGATTGAGACTGGGACGGTTACGCAAGAGGACCTCGGTGGCCGATTTCCCGGAGAACGCTCAGGCGTTTGGAGAGTGGATCGATACCTATGCGGACGAAGGCTTTCAGGATGTGGCCCGGAAATCCATCGGTGAGTCGATGTGGAGTTGAAGGACAAGTTGGTTGCTGTATGGCTGACACCAGCCCTCGACACTCTTGCGCCCTTCGACCTTTAGAAGCTATGGAGGATCGGGCAGCTGCGGATTTTCCGAGCCAAGAGCGAATGAAGCAGCTGCAGAACATCTGGAATGCGTGAGTAGTAGCGACTCGTGAATCATTGCTCCAGTCTCGACTTTCAGCGCGTGTGGATGTTGATGGCACGACCCTCGCGCGCACTTTCTTGCAGAGCTGTGAGACTCGAGATTGGCATGTGGGATGAAGCGATCGACGCCAATCTCAGGAGGGAGATTGTCGACGCTCCAAGGATTTGAAAATGCCATTTTCGTAGAAATCGAGGCACGCCATGTCAAGCTAGGCTGCGTTCCACGTCTAGCAACTGATCCCTTGTATTCATTGATTGACCGGCACAGCTTGAGAAGGGATGCAGGCGAGCGCGTCGATATTGCACGTGACCACATTTTTTGAGAAATTTCTTGGATCTAGGCGAGAGCAGCGGCAGACACGCATGCATGCATGCCTGATCGGCCCGTGATTCGAGGCGTCCTCACAACATCGATTGACTATTTCCTTGGTCTCGCGCGCGCAACCCTTGCTCCCCTCTTCTTTGTTCGCGCCTCGATCAACGACTCTGGCCATCCATAGTCGAGCATTGCAACGACTCCAAGTTCTGGCAGCATAGTGTCGCGGCGTCCTGCGTTGCGATCTTCGAGCGGCGCGACTTGCGATTCGCCGAATCGACACCGGCTTCGCTGATCTTTGCGTCTGGCATCGCACTAGTGCTCCTCTTCTTCGTGGAATGGAGGAGTGAGGATGACATCTCAAGCTAGCGCACCGTTGGGTGCTGGAGCTTGGTCGATGCTGAAGCATCCGCTCGCGCCTTGGTTGTGAGTCCCGAGTGCTTCGTCTCATTGAAGCTGTTGATTGGAAAGCATCCCCACACGCTGACACCCACCTCACACCTGCGCTCCATGCGCTTCGTGGATAGGGTCGATGCTCTTCATGCGAAAGGCTTTAGGTCGATGACACCGGTACAAGCAGCCAGTATCAATGCTTTGCTCTTCCACAAGGACGCGATCGTCGAGGCACCCACTGGTTCGGGAAAGACGTTGGCCTACCTGCTACCTATGTTGACGATGCTCGAAGCGAGTGGCCAGCTGCAAAATACGCCTTCCACCTCAAAAGACGGCCAGCAAGTCTTCGCTGCGACTCCATCGACGTCATCTCACGTCAAGTCGGAACTTGCAGGCCTTGTCATTTGTCCAACGCGCGAGCTTGCAGCTCAGGTACATCGAGTACTGGTGGACCTGCTAGCATTTCGCTCTTCGCCACATGACCAGTCAGATGGGCCAGACGAAGCTTCAGAGACTCACATCGAGCGTCAGACGGACCAAGAAGAACAACAAGAGCCGACAGAGGCCGAGGAGAAAGACAGACTAAATACGCAGAGCCAGTACGGGGCACTATTGGTCGTGGGTGGTGCGTCTAGGTCGGAGGATGACTATAGAAGGTTCAGAAATGATGCGTGCAGGATTGTCGTTGGCACGCCTGGGAGAGTGCTGGAACTGGTGGAGCGCAAGACGGTAGATACCAAGAGCCTTGAGCTGGTCGTCTTGGATGAGGGAGATCGGTGAGTGTGTGCCGCAAGCGTAGCATGGCTTGGAGAGGCTCAGGTCGATGCTCACCCACTGTGCTGGTACGCCTAGCCTGATGGATGCTGGATTCTCACACGATGTGGAAGGCATCCTCAACTACTTGCCCAAGCAGCGGAGATCAGCGCTATTCAGCGCAACGATGACGGACGCCATCACCCGTCTGGCCTCATTAGGTTTGCGGAACCCAGCACGAATCGTGGTCACTGTGAAATCCAGCAACGTATCGGACGGTGGAGGTCAAAGCAGAGCGCCTGCCGCGTGAGTAGTTTCGATGACCGCCCGCCACCTCGCCTCGCCACTGCGTACACCCCGTTTGACACGTCTGATCGGTCCTCTCAGCCTGTCCAATTTCTTCACTGTCTCCGAGCCTCACGCTCGATTGTGGGACTTTGTGAACTTGCTACGCCTCGAAACCATCGAGGACGCATCGGGTCACGACGCTTCAGCTCGCAAAGTAATCGTCTACTTTGCGACGTGCGCTCAGGTCGACTATTTTTACAAGGTGTTGCGTGACCTGGACCATTTACGCGGGTTGCAACTCTATTCTCTGCATGGTCAGCAAACGCCGTCGAGGCGAAGCGCGACATTTGAGGCGTTCGTCAAGAGCAATCCGATCGGCCTTGCTGGCACATCGCTCCAGGATTTCGATGCGCCTAGCGCCCAGCAGGGCGGAGAAGTACGCAGGTCCCGCAGCAAAAAGAAGAAAAGGTCATCTGCATCGGTCTTGCAGCTTCCTATCGCATCCGTGATGATGTGCACGGATGTGGCTGCTAGAGGATTAGATCTCCCTGATGTAGACTTGGTCATCCAGTTCGACGCACCAATAGATCCGAAAGTATATGCGCACAGAGCTGGTAGAACTGCCAGGGCGGGCAAAGCGGGGAGAGCAGTGGTCATGCTCGAAGCTGGGCGACCGGAGGAATTTCCACGTGAGTATCAAGGTGGATTCTCCGCGCCAATTGCACTGATGCCTAGTCGTTCCCATTGTATGCAGTGGTGATGGCAGCGCGAAAACTGCCGATGGAAAGGTATCCTCGCCTACTACCACTCAAACTCCCACCGGCATCGCACGTCTATGCCCCAACATCTCAAGCGCTAGCCGATGCCGAATCGCTTTCGGCAGCCATTCGCTCGATGTGTCTGTCGGATCGAGAGATTTACGAACTCTCAGTGAGAGCTTTCGTCAGCTTTGTCCGCGCCTACTCGAAGCACGAGCTGTCCTACGTCTTCAGAGCAAAGGACATGGATTTGGGTGCTGTAGCTAAGTGCTTTGGGCTGATTCGCATGCCAAAAATGCCGGAGGTACAGGATGACCTCAAACGTAGAGAGGCTGCGACTTTGGAGAGCGACGAGGCGGGACGCGCGGATCTTTGGGGCTTCAAAGAAGTTGAAGTGGATGTGAGTGGATCAACAACGATCTCTGGACCTTCTGAAATTCGCACTGACCTCGCGGGCAGCTATGTCTTTGCAGTTGAAGACATGGGCGTACTCGGATCCGCAGCGGGAGGCCCAGCGCCTAGAGTCCTTGGCGTCAAAAGAAGCCAAAGTTCGCGCCGAGAGAGAGGCTGCCGAGCTGGCAGGGAGCGCGAAAAGGGACTCTTCGCTCTCGAAACGCAAAAGGATGAGGGGCGCAGAGGTTCAAGAGAATGCTTGGTCCAAGCAAAAAGAGGCCAAAGCTATCAAGGAGGAGAGGAAGAGCAAGAAAGCACGAAAGAGAGAGTACATCAAGCGAACGGCTTTGGAGCAGGAGGAAGCTGAAAGAGCGGAAAAGGAGGGGCAAGAAAGGAGCGATGATGAGTTGGACTGGTTGGCTGAGGAGAATGAGGAGAAGCGAAAGCTCAGAAAAGCTAGAAAGGAACGGCAGCTCTTGGCCCTTCGGCCGCCGGAAGAAAGGGTGGAGGTGGTGGAAGCGGGATTCTTCGATGGTCTCTGATCCAATGCATTGTACAATAAAAGCACGCAGTCGATACGAATTTGAAGGACGAAACAGATGTCACACGTGCTTCACATGCGCTCACGATCCGAAAAGAGATCGCAACAGGCACAAGTCGTGAGTTCCATTCGAGGCACAAGACGACCTCGCGTTGCACGTATCGGGAGTTCGTAAGATGTACAAGTACATAAGATGGAGCGATTCAATTGCCAAGAGTGCGCATCGAGCGGATCTCGGTGCAAATTCAGAGACCAATAAAGGGAGGAAAAGAAGAAAAGGTATTTGAGGCCGATTTGTAAAGCCGTGGGTGAAATGCGCAGTCTTCAGCTCTCCGCCACATTGCTGGGCTTGCGCAAGCCTTGTGAGCGACGCAGACCTCGACGAAGACGCTTGGTATTCTCCACGGGCTCATGTCCCTGATAGCGAGACTGCGCCTTGTCCTCCGCACTCTCCTCGTCCCTCATCTCCACATCCACATCAACATGCGCATTCTCTTCTTCCCGGCGCCCCTCCTCCTTCGTCTTGGCCACCTGTGCCGTCTTTCTGCTCCGCTTTGTCTGAATCGTAGAGCCCATAGCCTCCCTTGCGATTTCTGCTCCTTTTTTGCTCAGCCTGGCTTTCGGCCTCGCAGCTCGAGAGCTGACTTTGATCGCAACTTGCTGCTGCTTGGACTTGCCAGCTGCTGAAGAGGCGATGGACACGCTGGAGCGGGTCTTGCGTGCTGGACCTTGAGCGGAGGATGCGGCGCGTGCACGGGGAGCTAAGTGTCTGGTCGTAGAGGGAGCGCTCGATGCTGGACGCTTCGATGCGGTGCTTGCGATGCTGCCCGTCGCTCGACGAAGTGTGTGTTGAGACGCAGAGGAGATCAATTTGCTACCTGCAGCCGCAGATGATGGTAAGCCAGGAGCAACGACGGCAGTGAGGGAGGGCATAGTCTTGCTTGGAGACATGCCGGTGAAGCGTGGCAAAGAATGCTCCGCACCGCTGAACTCTTTGGCCGCTGTGCTGGTGGGCGATCTGACTGCTTCCCCCGTCACTGGTCCGCCCACAAGAGTCTGCGATTGCATCTTGAGCTGCTGAATAGTTTCGGAAGCCGAGTAAGGAGTGTATCCTTGCGGCTTCCGCGCTAAACTAGCTTGCAGGTCGAATACTGGCTTCTTCTTGCCAGGCAAGGATTCTGTGCGGCTAGAGATGGTCGAGGCTGTCGAGCGGGGAGATTGAACAGCACCATTGGAGAGTTGCGTGTGCGTCTTGGATCGAGCGAGAGAGCTGGCACTGCTTGGTGGGGCAGCGCTACCGTTGGATCGGGACAGATTGCTAGTGGTCGAGGAAATGCTCAGCCCCGTGGTCGAAGAAGCAGTCCTTGCACCAGCGGTTGCGGTAATCGTAGAGGCGCCGATGGCTCTCTTTGACTGGCCAGTCTGGCCCGCGATCTTCTTGCCGAAGCGTATACCAAAGGTCGTGGAACTTGTCGTCTTCTTGACCACCGCCGGAATTTTCGCGGCAGCCGTAGTCGCGGTAGCCATTTGAGTGACTGCTCGCGCAGCGTCTGTGGGTTCCGCATTGCCACTAGCGGTGCGCGGCCTGAAGGCGCCTCTAACAGCGCCCACGAATCTACTGCCAAATGAGGTACCATTGGACGCTGCATTCTTCGGCTCCATACGCTGCCGTTTGGGCGCAGATGCAGCTGCGGCTTGGACAGCGAGGCTCGAAGTGGTCGCAGCTCTGCTAATGGCAGGTGATCTGGCTGCATCTCTTCTTCGAGAAGCAGGACTCGACGTGCCCGAAGAGCGCGCGGTAGTGCTCTTGGAAGTCTTGCCTCTCCGAGCAGCGTAATGATTGGCAATACTGTCCATCTGATCGAAAGCCTTGCCGTGCGCGCTGTCGAAGCGAGTCAGGGTCGAAGCAGAGGGCTTGAGACCACTCGACTTGTTCTCGTACATTGCCCTAGCCTCAGACGTGCCAGGCATGGCTCGAAGAGGGGCGATCCCTTGAGCAGCCAAGCGAGCATTGATATCAGCCAGTAAAGAGGCGGACGTCGCACTGAAGGCTTCATTCGTCATGCTTGGGGGCGATGTGGGAGCAAGATCCTTCCGGTTTCCATTCTGAAGGGGGGAAGGCGCGGCACTCGACCGATTCGCGTCAGCTGCCTGAACGGCCAATGACTGACGAGGGCGGGACTTGATGACACGATTATCGTCGCTCGGCTTGGCCGGCGGACCTTGGTGCTGTGCGAGGATGGGTACCGTAGCATGATCCATCGATGTATCAGGATTGCGCAGCTCCTCCAAGCGTCGCACAAGCGTAGCGGGAGATTCGAGCATGACGAAGCTATCTTCATGTTGCGCTTCGTCATCGTTGCGCTTCCGCTTGCCAGCCTTGTTGGGACTCAGCACAGCCGAGGCACTCGCCTTCAGGCCCCTGAACCCGTCGACCAGCGCATGCGCGGCCACGGCTGCTCCTTCGCTCAAGCTGGTAGCGCTGCGGAAGCTCTTCCAGCTGCCAGTCTTTGTCAAAGGCGCAGCAGGCGCAAATTCTTCGCCTGCTCCGGTGGTCAGCTCTGTCTCTGCAGAAGCTGGCTCGTCGTCGGGAACAGAAGGCAAGCGGCTGGTCGTGGCAGCGGATGACAAGTAGGGGGAAGAGGGGGCGAGATGGCTGATCATACTTGGTTGCGTGTTGAGCACCGCTCGAATCGTCGTTGTCGGATCGATGTACGTGGACAAGCTGCTGTCGGATAGTGGATCGCGCATCAGACCTGCACAGTCGTCCGTTTGGTGCTCATCATCCACGTCTTCCGCCTCGCGTTCAGAGTGCGACAGGATCAAATCCTCTTCGCCGTGGTCATTCGCGCTGGCATCGTCAGTCGGCTCCAGCAGCATCTCTGAAGCTGATGGGACATCAGAGTCCAGCGCACAATCGAGACTCATCTGCTGATCTTCCTCGCATTCGCCCGTAAGCACCTCTTCCTCCTTGTCAGGATGTTCGGCCTCTGGCAAGGGCGCGGGACGAAAAGCACTAGAGACCGCGACGCTTGGCGAGGCTGACGCTCTGTTGCTGCTGCCCTCGGCACCTTCTGCGCTGTGCATCTGGTCACCTGCTGCCGGGCTGGGAGTGTGGGATGAGCTGCCGACTGGCGATTCGATGCCCGGAGGAGGTGAAGGGGAACGCTCGTTCGAGTCGGATGTGCGAATGGGCCTGAGCACAGGCAAGCAGCCAGCCGTAGGACCCGCCGAATTGATGTTCTTGGCAGCAAAATCTTGCAATCGAGCGATCAAGTCGGTATTCTTGAGTGAAGTGCGAGCAGAAGACCGTCAGCACACAGTGCGCAGGATGTACCGAGAGGCAGTCACCAGCTTACGCACCTTGCCATTGGCTTTGAGTCCTAGACGACCGCAGAGGTTGACCAATTGGCGCCTCTTGAGGCAGTGGATGGCATCCGGATGCATGAGAATCGCAGTGGGTGGTGCGGGCTGAGATGTGAGGTTCGTCAAGCCATTGCTGGAGAGCGATGATGTGGTCGACGTTCGAGGGATCGGCATCTTGCGCACAAGGTGGAGAGAGGTGATCCTGCGCATAAACGTCTCCCTCGGCTGTCACCAGCTTTCGTCAGGCGTGATGGCCACCTGCACGTGAACGATTGTGGGCGAATCAACGACAGTAGTAGCGCTCAGCAGGGCCGTCGATGAGCAGGCGCATGGAATGGGATCGCGCTTGAAGGGATCTTGGGACCGCTGATAACTCTTTGCCGACCGTCTGCTATCACAACTTAATCGTCACCTTGGGGTGATGGTGCGTGGAGGAGGAGCAGGTGAGCCCAAAGAGGAAGTTTTCGAATAATTGTGAAGGGCAAGTGCATGAATGCCCTCCTGTCCATGGAGTCTGTTCAGCTCCGCAACACAATCAAATCATCAGACGTTTCAAACACAGACACAGAGGCTGTGCCTGATCGTAGCGCAATCGCGCCTGGCGTTGCATGCTATGCGCTCGCTGCTGTACGTACAGGCAGTCGTGTTTCACTACTTCGATCTCAACTCTGGCATGTTGAATGAAGTTCTACATCTCTATGCATTGCATCGGTACCGTCGACGCAGCCGTGTTGCTTCGCGCGCGTGTGGGCGTGCATGTCAATCCTGTCACGTGTGAGTCGAGCTTTCTCTTCACGTGCAAAGGAGAGCTCGCCACGTGGCGCTGCAGCGCCTTTCCAGCGGCTTGCGCGCAATGGGCCCAGATTGGCGCGTGGCCCGCAGCATGGAAAGGCTTGGCTAGGAAGCTTCATGATGCTCGACTTGGGCAAACCTCGAATCGCAATTGTCACGCATCGCTTTACCGTCCACATCAACCTGCATTCCACTCAAGGCATACAACGCTTTCAAGATGGCTTCTCCGTGAGTGCTTCAATCGTCGCTTCTTTGGAGACGCTTGCCTCCTGTTGCTGCAAGAAAGTGCGAGTTGCACTCCAGAATTGACCTCGTTCATTGCACCATCTACATTAGTGACCTTGCTGCTACTTACGCCTCCCTCATCCTCGCTGATGAGGGTCTCGAGATCACTGTAAGCATCAGGTGCAAGGGGATGATCCTAGATGGGAGAGGGCCGTGTGTACCCGAAGGAGAGCCACGTCGGGAGCATCCGTCCACGAGATTAGGTGCGCGTGTTTGGCATGCGGTGCCTCGGTGCGCTCTCTGGCTCTTTCTGTGTGCCAGATGTCGGGGAAACGGTGTTGCAAGCCTTTCTAAGCTCTTTTGGGTGGAGTCCAGCTGTCGAGGCTTGGCGAGCACGGCAAAGGCCACACAAGTCCGGTGCACGCGACAAGCGACATCGTGCACGCCACAAAGCAGGGCGTGGCCTTGCCCTGCACCACAAGGAGCTGACTTTTCTCTTTCCTTGTCGCTCGAACTTACAGTCCGAGAAGATTGTGCAGCTGACCACTGCAGCTGGCACACCGATTGAGCCAATCTGGGCCACTCTGCTTGCCAAGGCTCTGGACGGAAAGAACGTCAAGGAGATCTTGACCAACATCGGATCCGGATCTGGTGGCGCTGCCGTTGCTGCTCCCGCTGCTGCTGCCGCTGGTGGCGCCGCCGCCGCTGCTGACGCACCTGCCGCTGAGGAGAAGAAGAAGGAGGAGGAGAAGGAGGAGTCCGACGATGACGTGAGTTGCGGCGACCGGCGCTCAGATGGGGCAAGGCGGAACACTCGAGCTGCATCCGACAAGAAAGCTGACACGTCCTTCTTACGCCTTGCGTGGATCTCCGTCTTCGTTAGATGGGTTTCGGTCTCTTCGAGTAAGTGACCGCACCGTTTTCCTGCGCCTCGATCATCAATTGCCTGACTCCGAATCTTTCCGCGTCTCTCTACAGCTAAGCAGAAGCACCATACAAGTGTCTGGCTCCACCTTCTCCAAACTTGCGGCAATCAATCGAGTGCCTTGTATTCTCTCAACCCTTCTCGCTCGTGCTCGTCACATTGCGCACTTCACCAACCAACACGCACGCACTCACACCATGCAAGCTATGGCGTTCTGCTACTGGTTGACCGTTTGATATCAAGCCGTGGAGTCTAG